ATTTTTAGTTGAAAAAGTTATCTGGAGGGAAAAAAAACTAGAGACCGTATCTTTCCTTCTAATTGTCCGATTTTAACGATTTTTTTTTTTTGTTTTTTTAGGAAATCCCATAAACTTTAAAAAAACCATATACAATATTCCCAAAAAAGCGTATACTTTTTGAGTTATTCGGAATTTAATTTTAACATCCCTCATAACTTTTTTTCCAGCTTCTTTTCGTTGAAATATGTTATATAGATAAATTTAAAGGGTATCGAGAAAATGACTTTAGCGAACTTTCATTGAAATCGGTACATTCGTTTAGGCGCTACAGTCTATAGCAACGCAGGTTTTTCTGCATTTTTATTTATTTTTTTCTCTTTTATTAACTTATCAAATGCTTTCAAAAGTTATATGTAGCATTTTTTCGTAACTCTGAATAATGCGAAATGGTTAACTTTTTAAAATAAACCATATTACAGGTACTTTAGAGGAAAACATATATGAACAGCCCTGTAAAGTGACATCAACGGGGATAAGACCTAAATGATAAACTTAATTATACAATAATACACCGAGTTTAATGAAAATCGTTAGAGCCGTTTTTGAGAAAATTGTAAAAATGTTTTCCAGCGTAGATATAAAGTGGCACTTCTGGTTAGCCGATTTTAAGGAAAAAGTTGCCAGGACACCAAAGCCATATATCTATCTTAAATATGTAATATCAGTTTCGTACGACTTTTCGGTTTCGAGCTAGAGTGTTCGCATACACACACCCCATTTTTTGGGACTTGGTTATTTGGACTCAAGGGACCTCAAAACGTGCATTTCCGTTGAAAACTCAGATTCAAAAATTTTCACGATAGAAATACTTAGACTTACTATACTATATATTACATATATAGATAAGTGAAAGTAAAAATGACACAAGGGCCCTAGCCCTAGGAGCCGAGAAAAAATATATACTATATAATTCCAAACCTACTTTATATTATTTATTTCAGTTTATTATTTTCAATAATGAACCATTATGAACCAAAAAATTAACTCTCCCTCGAAATTTGAGGTTTTACGTTTCATGATATACAGAATTCGAAAATCGAATAAATTTTTATTGGCCCGTCGTTGGCCATACGTTGTCCGCGACTTTTCTCCGAGACTATTGGATCGATTTTTTTCAAATTTGAAATCAAAGTCAGAGGTCAGCCGAGGTCAAATCTCCTACCTCGACATTACTATCCGCCCTTTCCTTCCAAGATGACGACCGAAAAAACTGTTGGCATAGACTGTAGCGCCTAAACGAATGCACCAGTTTCAATGTAAGTTGGCTAAAGTCTTCTCCTCGATGAATTTTAAATTATTTATATAACGTACTTCAACGAAAACAAGCTGGGAAAAAAACTACGAGGGATGGTAAAATTACAATTCCGAATAACTCAAGAAGTATATACATTTTTTTTCGATGAGTATATGGTTATTTTAAAGTTTACGAATTAAAAAAAAAATTGTTGAAATCGAACAATTCGAAGCAAAGAGTATAAATATAAATATTTTTTATATGTTCAACTGCAGTTTTTTTGTTGTTTTTGTTTTTGATTTTTTGAAAGTTTTACAACACCTGTAGCAATGTCGTCTATTTTTAAAGCAAATAATCAATGATAAAAAATAAAATTATAAAGGCGAGTGTAAGGAATTCCTTTTTATTTATTTTTCTTAATCTTACATGGAAAGTAATCTTAATTTTGACAGTAAATTGTTTGGAAATAATAAACCATTGTGTAATAATTTGCAGTGTTTTTGTCTTTCTTCAAGCCGGATTTTTTGGTTATTACATATCAACCTATTTCTTTTTTTATTCAGAATAAAAAAAAATCTGCTAAATAAGGTCAGTATAGCTTTCTCGCCGTTTTCATTTGTTAAAACATATATATATTAGACGGTCTAAATGATTTATGAAATATAAATTTAAATAAATGAAATAAATTTATGATTTATCAAGATAGAGGTGAGCCCCATCACCCTAATTGAAGTCCAGAAATAAAGATAAACAAAACTATAAGAGAAATCAATCAAATTGACCCCCATATTATTTTTTCACAAATACCTTTTATCCAACTGATGAGCAAAATCGAACGAGCTCTTTCTGAAATATTTACATATTTCCAAAAATGCATTCGCGCGTGCGTAAGCGGAAGTGTTGGTTAGAATTTAATAAAATCTACCATCTAGACAATCCAATCCCTGAAAATTTTATGAAACTCGGATAAACGGTAGTAGGTGATATACCCGTTACATCGATTTGACTACAGACAGACAGACATCGAACGAAATTTGATCCTTGATATCTGAAACATAAAATGCGAGTGAAAATTTTCGATTCTGAGCACATTTTTTTTAACCTCTCGCACGAATACCTTCGGTAGTGAGGAAGCAATATTGGCTACTGTATTAAATGAATTAAAATGTACATTAATTAAAAAAACAAAAGGCGCTTCAAGTGAAGTATGCCAAATAAATTTTTGAAGTACGTCAGGTTCTCCAAGACGACTTAAATAGAATCTGAGACTGAGTAGATGCTAACAAGTGGAAGTTGAATGCCAAGAAGACCAAGGCAATTTTGATAGGCTACAATCACCGCCTTAAAACGGTTCCTAAAATACCAATCTATCACGTTTCTACATGAAAACCCCATCAAATTCTATTCCACCATTAAGAACTTTGGAATAACCTTTGATCAAACCTTTTCCAGGAAAAACATATATCCCATATTTCCCACCGTGTCTTTTTCACTTTTAAACGTCTAAATTATCTCAACCACCTATTTCCATTCGAAACCCGTAAACTCCTGATTACTTCCTTAATATTTTCCCACTACGATTAATGCTGTACAGTATAAGGGGGCATCTCTGGGATTTCAAGGCGAAACTAAAACATTTGATAAATTCCTTTGTTGGATTCTTCTTCATCTGCGAGCTCCTTCAATTCAAAGCCTCTGTCCATTCCCGCAAAACCTATTCCCGGTCTTCAGATTTATATACAAGAGCCCACATATTTACACTGCTTTTGACAGATCTTTCATTATTCAATCCTCATCCCTATGGATTTCTATCCCTTCCTATATCCACTAGCGGATCCAGGATTTAATTTTGGGGGGGCTTCAGCCCGAAAGTTTTTTTTTTCATAAAAATAACGATAATTACTTTGGAAAAAAAGAAAGAAGCTAACTACCTATATGAAATGGTGTTTAGTGATTCCTAAAGCCCATTTAAATGTAATTACACGAACAATAATACTTTAAGAGATACTTTTTAAATATTTTTTTCGAAAAAACATGGTTATATTTTAGCATTTTGGGGGGGAAGGGGGGGCTTCAGCCCGAAAGCCCCCCTCCCCCGTAGATCCGCCCGTGCCTACATCCGTTGCTCCAATACCCTCCCCACCTTTAAATCCTGCCTATTCAATCACCTCTAATCTGTTTAGTCCTCATAAAATTGGAAATAGATGTTGTTGTAAATATGTATATAAATAATTAGTTTGTTTTAAATACTTTTATTTAATTTTTTTTAAATTAAAGTTTGAAGGGAAATAATACTTTTTTCTATTATTTATTCATTATATCAATCTGTTTATTTTGTGATTATTCTCTGAGGCTCCAGAGCCCACATCTCCATCTTTATACATTATTCTAAAGGAACTTGTCCCAGAATAAATAAAGCATTCTCATTATTATTATAACTCATTTAATAGAATAATCAATATTTTTTTCTCATTCTGCACAAAATAGAAATCCGATTGATACATAATACCCTAAAAATCCATAAACAACATACATTTAATTTGAAATTATATACAATTTTTTTTTCTTGCCTCCTAGGGTGTATGTTCCTTAAAATTTCAAATTACTAGGCAGTTTGTTTCAACTTTTTAAGGAAAGTAACTGGAACTGGGGACAGAAAAGACTATTTCTGCTTGATAACTTGTCATGTATGAAGGTCTAAACAAGGTCGATAAGAAATGAATCACAAAGTGGAATACAGAAAGATATTTTAAGAATATCATGTAGGTCTTAATACTATTGTCCCTGATTCATGGTTTCCCCTTGGTCCCAGCACTCTGGACAACTATCCTATTCTTTTTTGTTTAAGGAAAATCCAAGTTCTCGACAGATCTATGCTAGTAATAGATATCTTGAGTAATAGATTTAAAAAACAAAACCTTATAGAATCTTTTTATGATCTATTTTGCAATTCTACACAAAAAAGATTTATTCTGGGATGCTCATTCAGAGTTTGATTCAATTGAGTATATTCACGAATAATTATGTATGTTTTTACACTAAACTAAATATAAAATTACATAAATTGAATGAAAAAAAGAAGGAGTAAAACCCTGGTAATATTTGTCTAGATACCATTACTAAATAATATTTAAAAACAACTCCATTTTGAGTCTGAGGAAGTTATCAATTTCCTACTCTGTTTTACAGAAATCTTTCCTGTTTACATGCGACATTTCATTTGATTTAATTATCTAATTTAATACTTTAGTGTATACAAGAATACATGACGTGGGCAATCTTTGTTTACATTCTAAAATAAATTAAAAAACTCCGACAACATAGTAACAGATGCTTTTCTATTTAATATGTTTTTAATGTAAAATAAATAAAAAGTAAATTATTCTTTGTCAATAGAAAATAAAAAATTCCATCATATTTATAATTGCAATAAAAGATACATTAACAACTTTACAATTTAAAAATAATTCAAATTTAATAGAAATTTGGCTGAATTCTGAGATAATATTTTCAAGAAATTTAACAAATATTATTTTCCACAAATATATAAATATTTGGGCAAGTTTTTAAACTCATCGATGGAATTCAATTTATTCATCGATTGAATCACCAAAGGTCATCGGTTCCATCGGCTAATATATATTTATAAAATTATAGATTGTAGTACAAAACCAAATTTTAATCCAAATTATTAAAATAAATATCAAAATAAAATTATTCTTACAAGGCCATAAAACAATATCAGGAATTCTGTGTATGCTTCCCATGTTTCTTCGTAAAGAATATATATCATGTAAAGTTTGACCATGAGATCTTGTTAGGCGTTCAAATCCATCAACTGAATGTTCAATTTTCAGATTCATAATTTCACAGAGAAAATCTGAAAAGAGCAATAAATGCAATTGGGAAAGCAACATTATTTATGACAAGTAAGAGAACCATTTCTAGAAATTTACCTTCATTTATGATTGTTTTGGGAAAAAAATCATCAAATGGAATTTCACAGGGCAAACATATTTTAAAAGGATCAACGTTTAATAACTTCTTAGCCCATTCTGTAAAATAAGGTAATTCAAGTTCACCAATTGGATACCTGATAAAAAAAAAAATTGTCAATAAAAAAAAACTTCTGTAGCAAAGATTGATTCACATCATTTACTTTTTTTCCTTTCATATTTAATTTTCTTATTCTTACAAAAAACACTTAAACATTTTTATAATTGTACAGTGTAAGCAATGGCAAGCCATACATCAAGAAATATTGGTATGTTTGATGTGAATCACTAAACATAAATAAAATATTGAAGTTACTAGAACAGTAGAATAAAAAAATATTTAAACAAAATATATACTAATCCAAATGAAGAATAGTGAAACAATTTATTTGCTACTATTTCCACCAGTGGTTATAGTGTTGCTATCTCGAGTTTTACTAGAAAACAACTGCACCAACACCAAGCCTGGATAAAGGACGAGGGTAAAAGGGTGTGAGGAATGGGCGACCTCACCTCTATAAAAAAAGGTATAGTCCAGAAACTGCCAGAATGAAGTTTTTTTAAATGAATGGTGAATATCAAAAACACGGATATTGTTAAGGCCACTCAGTGTAGCCCTTAATTTAAGTGCATCAAATAGCAAACATCAGTGGTGCCATCTATCGGTCTCCAGAAGAGCGCATCTATTGGTATACAGGAGTAAATAACCCTGCCTGGTGACCTGGGACCTGAAGGGCCAAAGTACAACACCAGTCTGAGTCTGAGTCTGTCTACAAAATGGTCTCTATTACCAAGCATGTTCATATAAGGTCTCAATAACATGTCTAGCTAGACCAACAGAAGGAAAAGGCAGCATGGATGCCAGCACATGACAAGATATAAAAGATGCCAGCAGGACGAAACACATCATTCAACTCAGATGACACAGAAGCCAGTCTCTCAATGGAGAATTCGACATCATCATCAACCAGCCAGCATTTTCATTTATCTGGTCAGCCAATATTAACCAATAGTTCACTAACACAATAACCCAAATGTACATCTTAAACCCCATCAACCTCTGTCTATTTCAATTTATTTTATCAATACATTTTATGTTAAACCTCATTTTACTCATTTCACATTCCGCATGAACACCCCCTTCTGATCAGTAATTAGTAATTACTAGTAATAATATCAGTAATCCAGGTTTGATTCCCCCTACTTCGGGATTAGGGAAGGCCTGATGCCCCAAACAGATATAGTCCTCAGAGGAATTCAGATTATCAGAGGGATGTGGACTTAGAATCGAGACTTGGAATTTCCAATGCATATTGCAACCGGGTGCAAGTAGAGCTCTTGGATATCACTGGAACAATATAAAGTAGATGTAGAAGTAGTGGCTCTACAGGAGATCCGATGAGAGGATATTGATATTGTATCCCTTGACAAATACTGCTTAGTGTTTCAAGGAAAATCAGAATTCCAGTTTCGTGATTAGAAAAAGTATCTGACATGTGCTACTTGGATACAACTGTATTAATGACAGGATCTGCAAAATCTGAATGGAGGATAGGTTCTGCAATATATTTCTGATTAGTGTACATATCCCTTGTGATGTTGCAGGTGAACTGAACAAGGAAACATTCTATAACAGTCGGTCCAACACCTACCATCAGATACCACAGTATGACACTAAGATTCTACTTGGTGATTTCAAAGCTCAGATGGGCAAGGAAGAGATATACAGATCCACGATTGGACAACATAGCAGGCATGAGGTAACATATGATAACGGATTTCGAACTGTGTAATTTGCTATGTTTAAGATAGATCATGATTACCATGATGATCATGACTATCATGTTCTCCCACAAAAAAATTCATAAAGAAACAAGGATAAGTCTAGGAGACCAAAGTAAAAGTCAGATAGATCACATATTAATAATGTGAGACACTTTTCTTACATCTCAGACGCACGTAGCTATAGAGAAGAGCGGACTACTGCTCTGACCATTTCCTTATATTGGCAAAACATTAACAACAGCTGGCATGCAGAAAGAGAACATTGGAGGGAAACACATACGGACGTGAAATCGAGAATCTGAAGGAGGAATCCACAAGACAAAAGATAGGAAATGAACAGTGCCAGGAATGGAGTGGAGAAGAGATGAATGAAGAGGAAAGGTGGTAGAAATTATAGGACTCTTTTGGGAAGGTAGCAAGTGAGATTTTGGAAGAAAAAAATATTAAGCAAATAAATCCTTGGTTTAATGGTGAGTGTGAGAGAGCCTTACAAGAAAGGAATGAAGCTCGGAGAATGAAAATGCTTCAAAGGAAAACACGCAATACATATGAGACATACTTTGAAAAAAAGAAAGGCTTAAAAAATTATGGGTGATAAGAATAGAGCATATGAAACAAAGAAACTCGAAGAGCTGCAAGAAATGTTTCAAGCACAAGAGAGTTGCAAATTCTTGAAGGGGAGTTAAGTGGTTAAGACAGGGCTTTAGCCAATATTCCAAGTGGAAAACTCCTCACTGATATAGTGACCAAATCAAGGGAAGATGGAGGTCTCCAAGGTGATGAAATCCTGTCAGAAGTATTAAAACACGCAGGAGAAGACAGCTGAAATGAGATAAACACAGTGATATGGGAGGTATGGTCAAAAGAAAAAATGCTAGATGAGCAGGGGAAGACTATTATAGTTCCTAAACTTAAAGAGGGAAATAAACTCAAATGTAAGAATTACAGAGGAATAGATCTCCTACCCACAGTCTACAAAATCCTATCAGTGGCAATATGTCGAAGGCTAGAGGAGAAGAATGTAAGACTGCTGGAAAAGTACCATATTGGCTTTTGCCCTGGACAATCGAATACTGACCACTTATTCTCTATTAGACAAATACTGGAGAAAAAGTACAAATATAATATAGATCTCCACCATTTATTCATTGATTTCCAGCAGGCATCATAGTGTAAACAGGAGTAAGCTATTGGAGGCTTTATCACTGACACCGTCCCAAAAGTTGCAGGAATTAGACGTTTCAATGCCCTGCAAAAAGTGCTCCGATATACATAAGTCTCCAGGAAAGTAAAGCTCATAATATATGTTTAATTTACTAAGCCAATCCCTTCCAAGGCTGTCAAGGATATTGACCTAATAATCATGCTGTAGGACACTGATTCTAATTGGAATGCTGTGGGCTGTATTTGAGGGTATTTGATCATGCTATGGGATTAAACGGATTGCTATATTAAATGATTGGATGACTAGTAAAATAAGATTGCTGTATTTTGAATCTATTGTATTATAATGTGAGTTATTGAGGCCGAATCTTTACAATCAGGATTAGATGTTAATCAATTTGGTCTGCATATCATAAACTATTTTAACAGAAGTGGATTAGATGAGTGGTAGATGAAAATGAATTGCTTAGATACTTGCTGCATTCTGGTACCCATTCTTCTCTCTCTCCCCTTTCACCTGGCCCCTCGCTAGGCCTCTTGAGGTACTACTCCATGTTTTCTTCTAAGGAAATATGTAGAAATGTGCTTCTTCTTGCTAGCCTGCTATGCGCCAATCTTAAGTGGACATGAATCTACCAGGTACTCTGCATGTCTAGACTCTGTCCTTGTTGTTTCTCTTGTCTGCCAGGAAACGACAACAGTACTGCTAGCTTCTTCATTTAATTTCAAATTAAATAAAATGGGAACTTGGTTTTGTTTACCTTAACAATATATAAAACGGTGATTATATCAGTCGTTGTGTATGGCAGTAAGAGATGTGTATGCATAATTGTCCATTATACTCCACTATTCCCTTATCAACCCTAAAAGGCTAGTGGTCAGAGTCAATCCCTTTATTATAGGGGACATTTAGGGGAGATAGAGGGCCCTTCATTATTACTAGAACTCTCCTTTACTCCCCCCACTCACTATAACTATATTTAACTGATAGAAAATGTAATTATCATGTTGTTATTATTATTTTTACTATTATTATACATCTAAAATTATTATTTTTGTTATTATTATACTTCTACCCTAAATAAAATCTAGTGAAATGAAACTTCTTGTTTCAAACTATTTTCTGAGTATTTAAGAGGTAGGTTAAAAGCTAAAAAAGAAAAATTTTATTCAGAACATGATTTTCCTTACTCCACTTCATACAATTAGTTTGATATTAGCCAGATAATGATATATAACTGCTTCTTCTTTTCTTAAACATTGGCGCGAAAACGTGTTAAAATATCAATTAAACATCGATTAAGTAAAGGAGGTAGCTGGACTGTTCAAAAAAATAATAAACTATTGTTATCTTTTTTTTTTGTTGTAATATTCTTATTATATAGATGAGTGATATAAAAATACAGCTACTGTTTCAAAAAAAAAAAAAAAAAATGCTTGGGAGGAAATTCTTGCCAAATTTAATGCTAACAAAGAACACAGCTATGTATGTATTTTCACTTAAAATTATTTAAAACATAATTGATACATTTACTTTGATAGAGAGTAAAAGTGCCATAAATTAACTTTAAAAGAGGAACAAAAAATTTTAAGGCATAACTAATGAGATTTATAATTGTTTAAAACAATAATTTATTCTTTTGGATGCTCAAGTCAAAAAATAAAGTATGAATTTAACACACTAAATAATCAATTAATTATTTATTATGAAAATGACTTATACCACTTCATTCAACCCTATCATTAATAAATGTTTTTAAACACCTGATTTATTATCTACATCAACTCCACTGTGTCTGAAAATACCTATTTTGCTTTAAAAAAAAAAAAAAGGATGGTAAGTGAACGTTGTGTGATGCACACACCACACTGATTTTTTGTTTTACAACTGTTGGTGCTGTTCAATCCCTTAGATCATTAAAAAATTTTGAAATTATTTTCAATGAACCATTATACACAGTTGCCACCATTCGGTATTCAAATTGGTAAATACTTCACTATTGCTACTTGTTCTGCTGTCCTCTACCATCCATTTTCCTAATGAACCTGTTAGGCCTAATGGAAGGTTGTCTTAGAGAACCATTAAACTATGCTAAAGTTTATCTGGCAGATATGGAGAACCAACTCAGTTGATGGATTATGGTTTGTTCTGAATAAAGTAATATAAATAAAATAATTCCCTGAGATAGAATCTGGTTTAGGACACAATGAGAAATACAATATATATAAAAAAATCTGTTGTGTTGCGAGTATCACACAACTTTCACTTACCACTCACTCTCTTAGCAGAAATAAGTGTTTTCAGATAAAAGGGAAGTGTATGAAAACTGCATAAGTACATTTATATAATATTGTTTTGAGTTCGTATTATATTAACCTCATATTGTTTATGGAAGCTCCAAATCCTTCGGGCGAGTTCGGGTATACTCGTATTCCTTTGGTTCCCCAGTTACAACTATTCTCCGTTAAGATCTCTTATTTATCCTTTAGTTAATTATCAAATTATTTCAAATTTTATATTTAACTATCTTTTATATTACAGATTGATGTGAAATGGTCAATTGTTTCAAATAAAAAAAAATTAAAGGTACTTTAGAGGAAACTAATATTGAAAATTAGCCATTTAAGCCCTGTTAGAGAACATCAATTAGAATAGAAACTAAATTTTATTTAAAACTGCTTAATTTTACACTGATATAAGGAATTAATCAAAATCGTTGGAGCCGTTTTCAAGAAAATAGTAAAAGTGTTTAGTCCATGATATAAAGTGGCACTTCCGGTTAGTCGATATAGATGAAAAAGTTGCTGTAACATCACTAGCATATAAAAACCTTAAATAAGCAATTTCCCTTTCGTATGACTTTTCGTTTTTTAGCTAGACTGTTAACAGAGACATACACACACACAGACTATTTCACTTTCGTATGACTTTTCGTTTTTTAGCTAGACTGTTAACAGAGACATACACACACACAGACTATTTTGCGGGACTTGGTTATTTGGATTCAGGGGACCTCAAAACGAGTCTTTCCATTGAAAACGGATTAAAACATTTTCACGACCCCAATACTTTCCTATACTATGCATTTCATATATAAGCAAGTGAAAGTAAAAAGGAAATAAGGAAGGTAAATTAAGGAATTAAAATCAGATAAGATTTTACTAAAAAATTAAGATTTATTGAAAATTAATGCCTTTACTGAGAAATCAAGATTTTTTTTTTTAAATTGTAATAGTATGCCAAGTTCGTCAAATGAACACAAAGCACAAATTTTATCTCTACTGAGATAAACCTAATACTTTCATTTGTATTTACACCTTAATATTTTTAAATTCTTAAATATCAATTTAATTATATTAATCATGTTTACTTATTGTTGACCTATTCATTTAATACATGTTTTGACATCAACTACATTTTACATGTATTTTGTTATGTATTTTTGTATAACTTTATTTTTTGAAAAAATTTTAGAACCTTTATTTCTAAAACATTTTTTTCTAAAAAATGTTTCAACAAAGATATTATAATAGTTCTAATCCTTGGTATTGACTATTTGATACCAAGAAATATTTTTAAAAAAATTGTTTATTAAAGAAAATAGAGGCCAATCCCTAAAGTGGGGCTAAAACGTTGCCCATTAAAATAAATAAAGAATCTGAAGTGTGAAACTTCACAAATTGGTGTACCTTGAAACAAGTTTTAAAAAAATAGTAAACATAATATTTTAGAAGTAAAATAATAACCAAAATTGCACTTCATATTAGTTAAATTAAATTATTAATTATCGTATTCTTGCTAGTATGTTCCAACTTGTAAGCATCCCATAATTAAGAGGGCAACGGTCTAACTAACCACATGGTTAAATATAAGTTGTGTTAAATGGTTGCATACCCTTGAGACTTAGTAATTTTATCAGAAAAAGTAATTTGTAATTCCTTACTAAGAAATATATAAATCTGTACCTGCCTTTATAGTACTTCTAATAAGGTATCAATATCTAAAAGCTTTACTTTTTCACTTGTACCACTTTAAATGGTTCAATAATAAGTAGTTCTTAGATTAAAACTGAATCATCAAAGGAACCAAGTCTATAAATGCAAAACATAGTATGATAAGTTTAATACAAAGTTAATTGACTTATATAAGCTTTCTGTTTTTTGTTGTTATATAAATAGTACTATGAACACCAAAAAATCAAAATATATAAGAACACTGATACTGATAAGGATATTGCAGCAAACTTGATACTTTCCAAGAGTTTTTTTGTTTTCCAGAACTGACACTCTTTCTAAAACTTGTGAAGTGAGGAAATGTATTTCCTCTACACTAAATATTTATTGAGTCACCCATGGGTAATAATAAAACATCAAGTTATTGTACGGTAACATCATCGTTACCTTCTACTACAGAATCGTTCGAGGGGAGTGGAGAAAACAATGTCCTCATTGAATTCGTTAAGAATTTCTTTCCAAGCCTTTTTTTATTTTTTTTTATTTGAAACAGTATCTGTATCTTTATTTTCTATAACATCAGCTTTTTCGAGGAATAGAGATGTGAGGAACTGTAACTCCTCTCCACAAAATCTTTTTATTTTTATATCACTCATCTATAAATTAAGAATATTAAAAAAAAGAAAAGATAACAATAGTTTATTATTTTTTTGAATAGTCCAGTTACCATCTTAACTTACTCATGTTTAGTTGATATTTTAACACGTTTTCGCACCAATGTTTAAGAAAAGAAGAAGCAGTTGTATATCATTATCTGGCTAATATCAAAATAATTGTATGAAGTGGAGTAAGGAAAATAGTGGAGTATAAAGGACGACCATCCATACCATCAATGGACTCTGATCAAGGAAAACAGAAAAGCCCAGCTGGTCTGGGAGATAAGAGTCCTAAGAAAGATCATTGGAGCAATCAGAGAGCAGCATAGGTGGAGATCAGAAGCAACACGGAACTAAGGGAACTATTTGGTGAGCCTGATATCCTCGGTATTTTTCAGAAGAGGAGACTCAGGCGGCAGGGTCATGCTGAAAAAATGGATTTCCTTAGACTATCAAAAATTATGCAGAATAGTACACCATGAGGAAAAAGAAAGAGGTAGACCCAGGCACCGACAGCCGAATGATCTGGAGGAAGACTTGAGGAAAATGGGGATTAGAAATTGGAGGAACCTGTGGACCGCGAAGAGTGGAGAAAAGGGCAGAGCCTCAGGTCCTACAAAGAGTGTAGCGCCCATTGAAGAATAAGTATTTGCTACTAAAACAATAAAAATTAAAATAAATACAATACAGAAAAACAATAATAATCTGAACACAAAAATTTAGATCTTTTGGTAAATGAGTGGAAAGAGGACTTTAATTCATAAACATTATTAACATTGGAATAGCAATAGTTGTTGAATTGCCAATTCAACATTAATAAAATTTTGATAAATGAATGTCCCTAGGAAACATTGTCTATGGAAGGATGGGACTAACCCAACTATATAGTATCTATTTATTAACTGAGTTCAGAGCAATAGAAGGAAACCAAGGAATGTCTCAGGGACTCATTAACAAACCAGAGAAGCAGAGTGTCTCATTATGTCTCAGAGAAGCCACGGTAATCTTCTCAGTCTTAATGAAAGAGAGGAAGATACAAGAATGAATTAAGAGTTTAAGTGAACATTTGGGTACAGGATAACTGCCGCTAAAAAATAGTTTGTGAATATAAATTAGTTACAAGAGGATTTTGTCAATGATAATGCCTAAGTTTTATATGAGGGAGCAGAAAGAGATCAATTTAAGATACAATAGAAAAGTTGGTATTGAATTTGAGAAGCTGTTTTGAACCAATGACAATGGTCTGAGTTTTAGCAGTGTTTAACCTTAAGACGTTTAATGCCCAACTACAAGATAACTCCTTTTTTTTCTCCTTATGCCGTATGGTCATGGCTTTTCTCTTATAAGACATCTTGCTGCCCAATAAAGTTTGTTGATTTTGACAATTCAATATCGTCAGAAGACAAATTCTGTCTTATCTTTCTATAAGAGGACATTCATGTAAATGACTTAATGTCATGCATCAGCAGAGAGGATCATCTCTCACTCCGATCCTGTGGAGGCGAGCATTCAAATAGCCATCGCCAGTGATTGACTGGAAAACGGCAATCTTCGACTCGTACTGAAGATCAGGTGGAACATGACAATTAAATAATTCCTGAGCAGGTATTCTTGTCTAGGACACCTACTACCAATCATCTTAAACTTTATGTAAGCGCTTATTTTTGTAGCTTTAAAGAAATTTTTACACCTTTCTGATGATTATTATGTAACAAAGTTAGTTTTCAATTATATATTATTGAATTCAATTGGCTTTTTACTGAGATTCTGATAAGTACCGTGAACAGTCAACATGTTAATTTTCAAGTTCTATTTATTTTCTTATCGTATTGCACACTTATAATTTCAGTTAATATTCATAATTTGGGATAAAAGAAATAAGGAAAAGATAAAATCTTCACTAAATAAAAACTCTTCTTTGTTCCGAATGTACATGTATAATGTACGAAATGATGAGATTACTGCCATGATGGTTGGGATCATTATCTTATTTCTTGTTGGGAGCCTCAGGATAATATCTTTTGAATTTTCTCAAGTTCAGTTGCATATTGCATCGACTTGGGCCAACTCAAGACCAATTCACCATACAAAACCATTTTAAAAATTTTGCTCTTTTGTACTTTAGTCCAATACAATTACCTTTATATAGATCCATTCTAGAGTATTTCATTTTTTCTATTTTCTCTGAAAAATCAACTACTATTGTTGTGAAGAGACCTTTTCAAACTATAAGAGGCTTTTCGAGATTATCATGCATCATAATCTTAAATTTTTTTGGGGAAATAGATAAGGATATTAAGTGAAAGGGCTCAAAATTCGTATAATATCCGGTGTTCCATAAAAGAACTATTATTTTTAAAGATACATTTTATTATTAATAACCAATCAAGAACAGGTAATACTGTACAAGTGTCTATCCACTTGATAAAAACTTATACTAAAGCTGTAAATGAGGTTTCGAGAATGGCCAAGTGTACCCGAAAATAGATAAAAGTGATCGAACTGTCTGGTTAGACTCTGATGTCAACTAAAAAGAATCCATTGGGAGTTTGTTTACCATTTTAGAGGGAGTGTAGGGAGGGGGAGTCAAAAGTATCAGTATTAATAAAGCTAATCAAGAGCTAATAACTACTAGATGGGAATTCGGGATGTAATAAATCACGATTTAATTAAACGGAGGCTATAATGTGCACATATTGTCAATCTTTGGGCATTCTCCGAATCCTATTTATGGTGGAATCATGAGATCTAGAACCATAGTGGAGTGACACTTGTACAGTATTATTATGATAACTTCGAGCAACCAAATTACTAAAAACAAGAAACATTTTAAATGTAGGGAATGTTCATAAACTCAACAAGAGATAAGAATATAAAACAAATATTTGTTTTTAAATATATTTAATAGATAAATGGTATAAGTAACAATAAATTTTGTGCCAACAATTTAAAAAACATCAACGTTTGAAAATGAAAGATCCAAAAAACTAAAAGCCTTGAATTCTACTATATCATGAATATGTCAACTAACCTTTTCCCTGTGAAACAAATAATACCATCCTTCACCACAAATTTAGAATCATTGTATCCCCAGCCATTCCATTTGATAACATCAGTCCTAAACAAACCTTAATGATTAAAATGTTATACATAAATAATAAACATGAAGACACTAACATGAATATACCTTTTCTTCGGTATGGCACTGAAAGGCTTCTGTATTTTAACTGATGGTAACTTAAAAGACCTATCACTATCATATCTCTTATCAGGTACATCTTTAGAATTATCATTGTGATCACATTTAGAAATAGTTTTTGAACTAGGTACTTCTTTGGGCATTATGGAACAGTCAATTTATCATTAATAGGACAGTACAACAGCAATTCAAGCCTGATAAATTTTTAAAAAGTTACTAAATGCAAAAACGAAAGGTTTAAATCATAACACTGAATGTACTATTGAATTGTTCAAAATTAAAACAATATATGGCAGTTATTGCTTGGCAGCTATGCTTATTTTTTTACTAATACTTAAATTTAAAGCTGTAGATTCCGATCGTAGGTTATGTTTATATTACAATTGAGTATACAATTGACTGTGTGTCATATATTAAAAATACATAATACATAATATTCTATAAATTGAAAAAGGATTTATGAAACGCTTATTATCACTGACACCGTTCCAAAATATATAAACAATTTAATCAATCAAAATAATCAGAATACAAAGAGGCACATCACGAAATTATATAATTACTTATTATTTTTAGAGAAAGATGGTCAGGGGTGCGGTCAGTAGATATACTATATATTATAGTTGTTGGATTTTCATCCTAGTTATTTATTTGCATGATTTTCTGTCATTAAAAATTCATTTTTATACGTATTACACTCGGTAATCCATCGGTCTCATCTTGCCTTACCCCCTCTTATCTACGTATCTATGTATGTCCAAAGTTCAGGTGCTTGACAAAGAATCTTGCCTCAACCTTCACCACAACCTTACTCAGCCAACTTTACCAGGATAACAACACCCTAAACTCCTTTACGAGCGATCACATAGAAATCACGAAACATCCCATCGGCTACACCGGTCTGGAAGAGACGGCATAGACAAGCCAGAGGATTGCAGCGTAATTAGAAGATAGGAGTGAGACCGGTCTTCCGCTAATTACTGTATGTTACATATCCATTCATTAACTAATCCTAATTAACTAACTAATAAGAAATGCTTTCTCAGGAATAGAAGTTTATTATAATAAACAGAATCAGCCGCATTATGAAAGGTTATTTGATTATCGGTGGTTGGAAGATAAAATTTATAAGGGGGCACATATTGACGGGGTTTTCAATTTTTGAGGGGGGCATATTTCGATACGGTTGTGAATTTTCAAAATGAAAAGATTCAAATGAAAAGATAAGTGTAAGGATGGAATAGGCCGCAGAATGTAATTTTATATAGTCCACGAATATTTAAATTCTACTTGCGTTTGCACTGTTTTTAAGAAGCCAAGAACAATAAAATATCATAGTATCAATATCTTTTTGCGCTTAATAAGTTGTTTAAATTTCAAATATTGTTTCGATCGGTAAAAATCACCATATACAAGCCTGTAATAAGAACGGTGGTGACACATGTTAGCGAGTGGCTGGTGATGACTAATTGGAGCGATACGATTCTGAGGATTTGGGAGAGAAAAATGCTCCAAAAGATTAAGAAATAAAAGAGAGCTCGGACAGGTCTTTGATTAGCCTAATATTGTGGCAGAGTGTGAATCTGCTCTCTGAACACTATTATAAATGTCCTTAATTGTGACAGATTGTAATATTTCTGAATAAATAAATAAATAAATATATTGTGGCAATCTTCAAAGAAGGTAACGACGGCTGGGGCATGCTCAAAAGATGAGAGGCTACCAAAAAATATTTCAAATGGTATTATTACGGATGAGAGTAAGAGTATGGCGGAAGATAGGCAGGAATGACAGTCAGTTCTAAGTGAGGCAAAAGTACAACTAGGGCTGCAGTAACATTAAGTTAGTTAATCAGTGATGTAACGATATAGTGACAGCTTAATTGTAAAAATATGGGCGTCAGTGAAAAGCTGTATCAGCTCACGGACAGACAGATAGTTCATTCTAATACAAAAATAAGATGTCATTACTAAATAAATATATTGAAATTTTTTTTTTTAAACTTAAAAGTATAAGATATTAGAAATAGACCGTTTTACGTGAATTGGTAGTTGGATGTTCCGGATATTATTAATGTCTTTGTAATGTTTTATGGCTGAGTAACCTGGGCAATTGCCCCGGGGCGCCCATTGGAGAGGGGAGGGGGGCTGGCCGATCTTCATGGGCGCTCGCCACCATTTTATCCTCCCCTAGAAGCAACTGTATTAGTAATCTTGTTAAATGCAATAAAATTCAAATATTGGGGGCGGGGTGGCCGAATGGGCTAAAGCGTGTGCACAGCACCGCGAGTTGCCCGGCAACCAGATATATGAAGTTTTGAGAGACAAAAATAAGTACGAATTCGCGTCCCGGTGTCGGAGGGGATTTTAAATACCCCGCCCTCACCCTCCGGTCTGGGAAAATCCCGTATAGGCTAAACGGCGAGGTAGGAAGAAAAAAAAATCAAATATTACATAACATAAAACAGCTTAAGAAGTAAATAAATTTTTTTAGGGAGAGGGAAGATGACGTCATTGCCCCCTACTAGTTTAGGGTATTCCCCGTAAACTTTAGCATTATTACTTTTATCTAATCAGAGGAGTAAAGAACTTTAACTTAAAAAAAAAATATGAAGCTCCTTTGGGAAAAAGAAAATTACAACAAAACGAGGAAAATCCTTTGTATAACGGGAGATGATGACATTCCAGTCTTACCGTTCTTGCTCGTGCTCTCTCATCGGAAATCTCAATTGTTCAATGTGAAACGTCCTTCGTTTACTGGATTCTTGATGCTTTGGATCATTATAATGTTGTGTTCTCGAATAACAATCACTTTGAATGGCCCCTCATATCTGACCATCTCCTTTTCCCAATTCGAGCCTAATTTCCGGTAGACTACGGTCCCTATGCTAATGTTCTTCATCCTATCTCGAACGCTAATATTTTCTCTCGCTACTCCCTTACATTTTTCCGTCTCTATCCTCTTACGGGTTTTCTCCCAATGTTTTCCCAGCGCTATTCCGTTATTAATAAGTTCCTGCGAAACAGCTTCTTCCGCCGCTGTGCCTTCGATATCTCTACGCCGTTCTCTGCGCCCAAATAGTACCTCGAATGGGAAGAACCCCGTGACCGCGTGGATGGAATGGTAGTACAGTTATTGCTTTGGGCGTTGCCACTTTCGGTTCCAGGCCGTTATCTACGTTATACAGTTGCAAACGATTTCCCAGCATACTGTGTATTGCAATCTTTCAATCCCTCCTCTACTTTTGGGGTGCCCGGGTGTATTTAGATGCCACTGTATATCCAGATCCTTCATCTCTGCCTTGATTCTGATGTTATCAAATTCTCTTATCTGAAGAGATTCGATCTGGTACTCAGGAAAACTGGAATCATGTACGTAGCGCCCCGAGAGCCGCTTCCGCCGACCGCTCCTGTACCGGGAATGCCATGGCTAATTTGCTAAAAACATCAATTGTAGTAATCCACTTGTATCCCTTCCACATGAAGGTGTCCATATGTAGGTCACTTACGGGTACATTTGGTGTAGGTGTTTCTTCTTGCTTCGTTTTTGGCAGATGCCAATCATATTTTGTGGTTTGGCACACTTCACATGCCCCTATCACGTCTTCTATAGTCTTTTTAATTACCCACCAGAAATATCTCCTTTTCAATGACTGTAACGTCTCGTTCACCCCGCGATGATTGTTCCTCCCTTGGTGATAGGCAAGCGTTACCTCCTTTTGCCTTTCTGTTCCTTTAACGTCTCTACAATGAGATTTCACCGCACGAATGCCCGATCGATCCCAATTTTTTCGGTACGCCACAATCTTTTAATCTTTTCCCATATCAATACATTACCTTCGTGCAGGTAGTGTTTTTTTCCGCGATCGGAGCACCTTACAGATCTGGCCTTCTCTTACTCTGTGTTATGACCATACTGTGGTGATTTTACACTTTTCGTACTTCGCATACTCCATCTTCATAGGTCCTGACATCTTGATCTTTCAAATAATTTGAAGTATCTTGTCGTTGATAATCTCCTCCCTTTCTTCTATGTTAGCTGATCTCTCTTCCCTACAGCTCTCTTCCCCCTTCTGTTTCCCGTTGTCTTCTGTATCCACCGCCCACGTTCATCTTCTCCTTCTGGCACCCGTTCTCTTAAAAATTGCCGTACGTCGTCGGAATGTTCCTTTGCTCTCTTCTATTGCGTTGGTCTGCATTGCCTGCGATAGCCAATGTGCTACAATATTTTCCTTTCCAGGTTTGTAATACATTTCCATATTATATAGCCTGAGAAACTCCTTATACCTTCTTTTGGTTTCCCCACCCACAAAAGGGGTCTCTGATCTTTGTGTACCTTGCATATCCGTCCAAAAACATACGGTCTTAAGTGCTATATGGCCCACACTATGCCCAACAATTCGCGTACTAAAGCGCTAAATCGCGTTTCTGTTTCTGTGAGATGTCTATTGGCCTTTCTCCCTCGCTCCCTTCCTGTGAAAGTACAGCCCCTCCCGTACGTGATCACTGGTATCTATGGTAATAGTGAATTACTTCATGAAGTCGGGTAACGCTAGTATAGGTTCATCCTGCAATCGTGTCATATATTTACGGACATTGTGCTGCATAACAGGAGAAATAACTATTTTCCGTCCTTTCTTCAGGAGATCGTTAAGGGCCAGTAAATATTCTGCCATCTCCGACAAGAACCTCCGATTATAGTTCGGTGTCCCGAGTAACCGCCATATCCCTTTTGTATCTCTAAGAATCGCCATCTTTCGGATCGCTTCCACCTTTTGTATGTCAGGCTTAACTCCTTTCTTGGATATTGTATGGCCTAAGAAATTAATTTGTTCCAGTCCTAAAATTGATTTTTCTACAGACAGCTTCAACCCAAATTGTCATAGTCAGTGAAAGACATATTTTTCTTAACGGCCCATAGAGGACTGTTGTATGGGGATGTACTATCTATTATGATATCCTGTCTTGAAGTTTTCAGTTCCACTTGTATGTGTTGCCGCAGCACTTCCGGATAACTCCTCTCCTTAACATAGGTCATCCTCTCCTGCTTCAGCAAGATTTCATAGGCTATTCTTCCGGTAGTTCTCAGCATTTCCCCTTCGTTAAAGAAAATGTCTGCGTATTCTCTTTTCAACGGCTCTCTCCAATCATTCATTCCGCAAATCATTCCTTTATTGGCTTTGCCCTTGATTTGAGAACTGTTAATTCGATACTTCCTCCTGCCTCGAGGCTTTCTTTCAACCAGATCTATCTTCAGCTCGCCACCTCCGGTCGCACATCTATTCAACCCTCCACTTTACATAGACCACCCAAGGTTATTAAATTACATTCCGATACCTTTAACTGAGGTATATTTTCTTCTTCACACAATCTTTTTATCGCACTCCAGCACATTATTGTGTTGCCTGTATCAACTAGGCACCACACTCCACTCGCGACTCTGAGGATAGACAACCCTCCACTCTCATTCTCTATATTATTTATCACTAAGTGGTGCTCCTCCGCTTGCACTTTCCTCATTCTTCAAGACCTGCTTTCCTCGCTGCTGCTGTCTAGTGTCTTCTACTTCCTCTGGCACTTCTTCCACCTTCACGTCTCCGGTCTCCTGGTTCGCTTGCTTCTTCCACGGTTTCTGAAGCTTAGTAGATTCAGCCGACTCAGATGGTAGCCTGCTCTTTCTCCTCACTCTGAGCGTTGATTTCCATGGGTTCCGGTCGATTGATTTCTATGCGCCTGCTCAATAGGGGCACTGCTTGGCAATGTGCCCTTCGGTTCCACATTCGAAACATCTTGTCCGTGGGCGCTTTGCTACCAAATGTCCCGCCTTCCCACACCCATGGAACTTCCTCTCTTCTTTCTTTCCTTTCCTTGTCTTCTTTCTACCAGTATCGCAAATACATATCCTACTAGCTGATGTACCCAAGCTTATGGAAGTCAACGCTCCTCAATAGTCATAAAAAAACTTTGTTATTCGGCTATTTGTTTAGGTGCCACACAACTAAACTGACCACCACCCATCCATTAAAATGTTTAATTTTAATTTATGATGAATTACCCATTACACCTGACATACAATCCACAGCAATTACTCTGTATACCCAGCACATTACCTTCGCTGCAGTTTACTGCCCTCCGAGATACGTGCTAACATCTGCAATGTTTTACAACTTTTTCCAACATCTCGGTCGGTGTTTTATTGCAGGTGGTGATTATAATGCCAAACATCAGACTCTGTACTCCTAGAGGAAGAAATCTAAAGTCTGCCATCGATCAGCTTTCATTAAACACGATCTCACCTGATACACCTAGTTACTGGCCAACTTCAAGACAGAAAACACCAGATTTACTTGACTTTTTCATTACTAAAGGACTCAGGACAGTGCCGTATACTGTAACTGCAAGCTCTGATCTTTGTTCAGATCATTCTCTTCTCAGTTTGGTACTATGCGATGAGCCTCGTACTGCATAAAAAAAAACAACACTTACAGATAGGATAATCGATTGGGAAGCTTACAGCGACTACTTAAATTCTACGCTATCAATCCCAATGTCCCTTAAGACCGAAGAGGAACTCGAAAAAGCTGTTGATAAGTTCATAATCAGCTTACAACAGGCTGTATGGTCATCATCTGTACCAAGACCTAGCAGAAATACGTCTCTTCCAATCTATCCGCAGTACATTAGAGACCTGATCACCGCAAAGAGAAGAGCGCGCAAAGTGTGGCAGACTGGTCGACTTCCATCTGACAAACGGACTTTCAATAGACTTAACAATGAACTTAAACGACAGATTCAGAATTTTAAAAGAACGATCTACGACAATTACCTCAAAAATCTTTCGACTGACGATGGAAGCTTATGGAGACAGACTAAGAAACTTGTAAAGCATCGTGAGGTGTCAGCACCACTCCGAAACGTAGATGGTTCCTGGGCTGTGTCAGACCTTGAAAAATCTGAGCTCTTTGCCAACCATCTTTCTTCTGTTTTCATACCACATACTGACTTCTCTGATACTGATCACGAAAGACATGTACAAAACACTTTAGACATTCCTTTACAACTGTCATTTCCTCCACTTTGCTTCACTCCCACTCAAGTTGCAGAACAAATCAGACAGTTACCTAAAAAGAAAGCTCCCGGTCATGACCTGATAAATGCTCAAGTGCTCCAGAAAATGCCAAGGAAAGCTCTAGTATACCTAACATCAATTTTTAACGCAATACTCAGAACGACTAAATTCCCCTTACAATGGAAATATTCATTCATAAAAATGATTCACAAACCTAACAAAAACACTGACTTTCCTTCATCATACAGACCCATCAGCTTGCTCCCATTATGCTCTAAAATCTTTGAGAAACTTCTCTACAAACGACTTCTTGACATACTGACTACTGAAAACATAATACCTGAACATCACTTTGGATTTCGTTCACACCACTTAACCATTCATCAGCTACACCGAGTGACAGACTACATTGCAACAGCTCTAGAGCACAAATTATATGCAACAGGAGTATTTCTGGATGTTACTCAAGCGTTCGATAGAGTCTGGCATAAGGGACTTCTTTTCAAACTTAAGATTATACTCCCTCCAACCTACTATCTTATTCTTCTATCTTTTCTTTCTGACAGATTTTTCTCTGTTTGCCAAGGTACAGAACTATCTACCATTAAACCAGCCGTAGCAGGAGTGCCTCAGGGGTCAGTACTCGCTCCTCTGTTGTATATTATTTACACATATGATATTCCAGATCCTCTCGATACTATGACCGCGACTTACGCAGACGATACAACAATCTTGACAAGACATCAAAATTCAGCATACGCCTCACAGACTTTACAATATCACCTAAACAATTTCTACGACTGGTTCAAACTCTGGAAAATTCGACTCAACCAAGACAAATCACTACATATCACTTTTACCCTTCGACGTGAAACTTGCCCCCCTATTTACCTTGACAATATCCAAATTCCTCAGACAGACAAAGTTCAATACCTTGGACTGACCTTTGACAGAAGAATGACATGGGGACAACATATCAAAAACAAAACAAAAACTCTAAACCTAAGACTACGCCTATTGTACTCACTCCTTGCAAGAAATTCGAAATTAAAACTTAGACAGAATTTGAATACATATACTTACCTACTCAAGCCTATTTGTACCTACGCTTTACAGATATATGGGACATCCAAAAAGACTCACATACGTAAATTACAGACTTTTCAATCTAAAACTTTCAGGACTATCACCAAAGCTCCCTGGTACGTCAGTAACATTACTCTACATAAAGACTTACAGATGCCAACAGTTAACGACCACATACGAACATACTACAAACGATTTCATAATAACTTACATGGACATACAAACTCATTGATTCGAGGCATGGCCACAACTAACATGCCCGATAGCACCCGAAGGCGGCTTAAAAGAAGCTGGATGAGGGATCTCCTCCACTAACTAGAAATATTACGCTCAAGACAGGAAGGACGCCGCTGGGTACTCCTCTCCCTCACGCCTATTCCAAGACCAATCTCTTCATCTTGACATCACACTCGCTGATGGTCGGAACTTCTGACAGGTGTGAGTTGAAGAATCAAGTCAAAAAAAAAAAAAAAAAAAATTATGATGAAGCGAGGAGATTGTGAAGTCGATTGAAATAATCAAAAAGAGTTGTAGTCTTTCTACTTCCTTAAACTCTGCTAAGTTTATTACTGGCAAAATAAAATTGGACATTGAGCCACCTACATCCCTGTAAAATTAGAACTTGATCTGAATATTGTAGGCGGCGGGGTGACATTTTTGGGAGTTTTTTTTCCGATTTCCGGCTAATCCGTTTGCTTAATTCTAATAATGTACACAACATTTGTTAGGCTCGGGAAGTTGAATCGAATGATACCTTGAACGGGAAGATCGGAAAAAGTTGAAACATGCATGTGTTTTAAGCGACAATGTGTTACAGATATTCGGTATTTCGGATTTTTCCCGTTGATTTGTGACAATTTTTGCCATCAATTGAATAGTGCTACTTTTAAATGTGGTTCGCGGTAGAGTAGGTTGAGTACGAATTGTATTAAGTAACTTCCTAACCGGGATCTCTAGAAAAATTATAAAATTACCTCTAAAGGGATTATAAATAAAATAATTATTATTATGATTATTGCCAAACCTTGACTTCCATAAGACCCCCAATAAAAAATTTCAAAACAACCCCCACCCAATTTTATGAAATTAAATAAGGATCCTTCCCTCCATAATACAAAATCCATCTCAAAAAAAGATTCTCAAATTTTAACTGTACACCCGTCAACGAAGGGTACATGAGCTAGTTATAAAATAAATTATTAAAACTATTATATTATTGGGGTTAAGAAAAAAAAAAAGTTTTGTTATTATAATTGATTAGTTGAATAGTACAACTTTTAAATGTGGCTCGCGGTAGAGTAGGTTGGGATGAGAATTAAAATAAGTAACTGCCTATCCGTGATCTCTAGACATATTACTCAAGAATTCATAACTTTAATTCTACTGAATACTTTGTTTTCATTTAAAGCCTATGTTTTAAGTCAAGCAAGCCTAAATGTAATGTCAAAAATTGCTGAGCTTACCCCTGACAAAATTTCGTTGGACAATAGGGACATATAGAGACAAAAAAAATTTTAGGAATGGATTTGTTGTTTTTTTATGAATGAAACGGAAATACATCATGAACGGGTTGATTCTATTCAATGTACAGACAAAACCTTGATTTTATTTATATAGATATAAGATATTATGTATTTTATCAGGACATTGTGTTTTTAACTTATAGGAGGAAAGGGTTAACTAGAAGTGATTTAATTTGTTAAATGGCAATATTAAATATAATTGGATAAATTTACCTTCTAAAAAGATTTTGTTATATAGTAAATAAAAATCAAATAAATTTAAGTATGATAAACTTATTATTCGTTAAAATTTTCCATTAAATATAAGTTTATTATTCAAAGTTTGTGATTTTTTTCTTCAGATAATTTGTTTACAGGCTACACTGATTGGGCTCCACTGCAGTCAGCTAGTAACAATGGTTCGTCTAAGGTTGTGTGTGTAGTAAATACAAATATAGATTCGTATAAAAGACACTAAACCCCATGTAAAAATGACTTTTCACTGCCGTAAACGTGGGGTGTATTGGATCATAGCATTTGTCTATGTGCTTTCTTCGGTTAATCCTGGTAGAAGTTTATCTCACAAGAAAAATGTTATTATATTGCCCAACCCCGAACAAAATGTTATGCCTTTTGATCCAGTACATTACAGTGAAGCCAATATTTCCAAAAATTACCAGAGTTCCACAAAAATTAACTCAAGGGGAATGGGTCACTTATATTATCTCACCAAAAGGTTTATGGACATAATTCTTAAGGAAGAACCCTATCCTGAAGGTAAACTTGAAATATTGTTATTTATTTTTGTTCTGTCTATATCTTGGTTCATAATGATAGCAACAAAACAAATTTTTACATTGTCTTCTTGTCTAATGACCAGTTTTAAAACCAAATATATTTTTTTGATACTTTAGATGAACTTATGTTTTTATTTTGTAATGAATACTCATATTATTTTTACTTGGATCAATTTCAGTATGTTATAGTTAAGGTCTATCAGAACCCCAACCTTCAATTACTATTTCCTGTTAGCCTGTGTTTGACCTCATACTGTACATTGCATCTGTTTCCAATGTATTCTTATTTTCACTGTGAACAGTTACATCTATATTTTTTATTTATTGATTGTCCTTGTCAGTTACAAATTAAAGTAACCATTGTAGGTTTGAATTAACTCTTTTTAAAGTTAGTTCAAATATTTCCAAGTACATTTATGTTTAAATGATATTAGAAGTATATTGTTTAGACATATTAAAAATGTCATTAATCAAGTTACATTCTTTATTTATAATTTGCTTTAAATTTAACAGAAAGTGTTTTTGTTCTTACTTTCCTGATATGTGATAAGAATTGTCCCCCTTATAGGAAAATCCTGTTAGACTCTGTATATTCATAAACTATCTAGTTTGTGTTGGTTTTTCCTAGTTTAATAATTAAGGAACTTCTTTTTGTTAAATTAGATTTGTTAGTTAGTTAATAAACAGAAAGTTTTAAAATGGTCAGTGAGTTATTTAAACTTACTGCTTTGTATTTTTAGTTATATGGATTCAGTCATTTTACTCTGAAATCCATCATTATGTATGGCATTGTGCCTTATTTTGTTCTTGTTTTTATAATTTTTCACGAAGGCGATTGCCTCTTCATTTGATGAAAATCTCTGTCCTCCAAGCGCAATTTTTAGATAAGGTAACAAAACGAAGTAGCTTGGGGCTAGATCTGGTGAATAAGGCGGATGGTCAAGCCGTTCAAACCGTAATTCGTGGATTTTCGCCATGGCAACCACTGAAGTGTGAGACGGTGTGTTGTCTTGGTAAAACAGAATTTTCTTTTTCTGCAAATGTGGCCGTTTTTCCGCAAGTTCTGTAGCTTGTCAAGTAATGATGTGTAGTATGCTCTTGTAATGGTTTTTCCTTTTTGAAGATAGTCGATTAAAATAACTCTATGACTATCCCAAAAACCAGTTGCCATAATTTTCCCAGCTGAGAAAACAGTTTTTGCTTTTTTTGGAGCCAGTTTCCCCTTTGTAGTCCACTGTTTGGAGTGTATTTTTGTTTCGGGCGTATAATGGTGTATCCAAGTTTCATCTACAGTAATTAATCAGCGCCAAAACTCGGATTTATTGCACCTAAACTGCACTAACAGAGCGTTGGAAATGTTCATTCGAACTCATTTTTGGTATACCGTGAGGAAACGCGGCACCTAACGTGCAGACAGTTTTCTCATATCTAAATGTTGCTTTAATATGTAACAAACACGTTCTTTTGACATGTTCATTACCTCTGCTATCTCTCTCACTGTAATTCCTCGGTCATCTAGCACCATTTGGTGAATTTTGGTGATGTTTTCGTCGGTAGTTGCAGCTGGTGGACGTTCCGAACGTTCATTGTCTCCCAAGCTCTTATGGCCACGTTTAAATTCAGCTGTCCTAATTTCACTGTGGTAAATGATAGTGCAGAGTCCCCATACACAGAATCCAACACATCTTTGATTTGTGTAGGCGTATTGCCTTTCAAAAACAAATATTTAATGACAGCTCGATACTCGATTTTGTCCATTTTTACAAATACACTCACATCAACTCACTGAAACGACTGTTACATAAAAACTGCGCTTCTAAAATTTCTGAAACTTTGGTGGGTAACTGTCAACAGATGAACAACAAAATTCACTTGCCTTTATTTACTAGTGCTGGCATCTTCACGTTGTGGTCAGAAAATTTTCAGACCACCCTCATAGTACTGAGCTGAAGACCCTTCTAATGTTGTATTGGCACAGGTTTCTATATACATGTAGTAAGTTATGAATTATAGAAAGTAGCTTAAATATGTTAACTAGGTATATGCAAAATTTAAAGGATTAAATTGCTCAAATTTTGGTATAGTACTTGTATTTTTGGTTATATTCTAAGAAAAATAGGTTTTAATGGTAAAGTTATAACTGAGGAGCAGGAGCTGTTGTAGGTAATGTTGCATTCATTGTTTGCTGATGTAAACAGATAAGCAAGATTAATTTGAAGTAAATCAAGAAGTCTATGATGAGCATTTATCTTTGTCCACTTCAAGAGTTTCTGAAGATAATGTTGGCTCTAAAAAAGTTCGTGATTATATGTTATACTCGTATGTTTTTGAAGAAGACTTAAGACTTTTGCAATGTAATCACACACGAAGCCTGTAGCAATTATATTAACCCAAAAGGTAGTAGGTAATACAATTGTTGAAGTAGTGAAAGATTAACAGTTTCAATGTTCTCTTTGAAGAGATGAAACAAGCAAAGTCATCGAGAATTTGTTAAATTAAAAGAAGAGAAATTTACTTTTGATCCTGAGATACAATTTAATAGCTTATCAAAGCAGTGCTAACTTGGAGTTTAGAACAATCATGTGAAGTCATATTTTCCCTATGAAAAGTATCTTTTTTAGGCAAGATGGGAAGGTATCTGTTGTCTTTGATTTTATTTGAGGCAAGTTCTCAACCGAATTTCGAGTCTTATCAAAGTAAATTTCTTATCATGCAGAAAAATAGTTTTTTATGGTAAAGTAGTAGTAGGTAGTTTTTTAATTTGAAGTAAATCAAGAAGTCTATGATGAACATTTATCTTTGTCCACTTCAAGAGTTTCTGAAGATAATGTTGGCTCTGAAAAAGTTCGTGATTATATGTTATACTCGTATGTTTTTGAAGAAGACTTAAGACTTTTGCAATGTAACCACACACGAAGCCTGTAGCAATTATATTAATCCAAAAGGTAGTAGGTAATACAATTGTTGAAGTAGTGAAAGATTAACAGTTTCAATGTTCTCTTTGAATAGTTTTTAATGGTAATTAAAATTAATGATAACCGAAGTTATACTGAATAAAATTATTGCAAGTTCGTGTCTCTGTGCCAGTGGGGTTTTTAACTCGTATTAATTTCCAGCCCTCACCTCCTGGCCTGGGAAAACCCCGTGTAGTCTAAAAGACGAGGAAGGGGAGGTTGATTAATAATAATAATAAGGCTTAGCGAACCCGAAGGTTCGATGCCGACACCACCAATCGCTTGTTACACACCTCCCTCCACCGTTCGCCGTCCAAACCCAGTCCCTTCAGATCGGCTTTAATGCAATCTTCCCATCTTCGCTTCGGTCTACCCCTCGGACGCTTACCATTCGGCACAGCAAACATTAACCTTTTAGGAATTCTCTCGTTACTAAGCCCAACAACTTTACAAGCCCATTTGATTCGCCGCGATGAAATTACCTCAATTATATTACCCGGATACATCTCACGCAATTCGGCGTTGTGTAACCGTCTGAACTCTCCGGTTAACTCATCCTTTTTCGGTCCGAATATTCTACGCAATACTTTATTTTCAAAAACCTTAAGACGCTGCTCATCCCGAAATGTAAGCGGCCAAGTTTCGCATCCATAAAGAACTGTAGGTAAGATAATTGTTTTATAGATTCTAATTTTTAAGTTTCGGGACAAGAGGCGCGAACTAAGTAGTTTTGTCACAGAAAAATAACAAGCATTCCCCGCCTTCAGTCTAACCTTAATCTCTTCTTCAATTTCGTATTTTCTAGTAATCGTAGAACCTAGATACCTAAATTTATCTACCTGTTCAAACATATTACCATCTATATCGATATCACCAGTAGTATCGCCATTTTTGCAGCTAACCATATATTTTGTTTTATCCACGTTTATTTCGAGTCCTAGTTCTTTCCCGGCTTTCATTAACGTTGTCGTATTTAGTTTTATAGTTTCAACGTCTTCGCTTAACAGTACCAGATCATCAGCATAGCCCAGCACGGATGTTGTCCCGCCCAGATCCAACCCTTTCTCGGTTCGCATTACCTCCCTAATGGCATGTTCTAATGCCAAATTGAACAGGACAGGCGAAAGGGAATCCCCCTGTTTTAAGCCCGAACGAAGGAGGTTGATTAGAAAAACAAATTATTTTTCCGTAGTAGGAAACATATGCAAACTTTCAAAAATTGACTTGCAAACAGTTCAGCAGCAGTTGAGTTTGTTTCTGCAAATTTTATGGTTGTGGCATCTCAACAAATGTGTTTTCATCTTAGTATCATTCAAAATTCATCCAATTATTAGATACAAAATATATCTTCTGAGCTTATCTATTCAGTATATCAAACTTGATTCTTATGACATCAACAGAATAAAATTCTGAAAATAAAGTTTCTGGTATAAATTCTGAGTGGACAGTAATAAAAAATAACCCAACTGTGCCGAATTTTGGAGATTCCTCCAATTTACTCCTTAGTTTTATGTCTAGAAAACTCAAGAAATTCAGACTCTCCTAAAATTATGATGGACGAAATGTGGCATTTTCAATCTTTGATTCTTTCATTTTTCTGTATTAAAACTTTGAAGAATTCCGAAATCTTACTTAAAAAGTGGTAGTTTATTCTTATTATTTTTTTTAGAAACAACAGAGACTTAGAAATCATATGTGAACAAAAAATAATAAATGATAATAATAATAAAAAGCTTAGCGAACCCGAAGGTTCGATGCCGACACCACCAATCGCTTATTACATACCTCGCTCCACCGTTCGCCGTCCAAACCCAGTCCCTTCAGATCGGCTTTAATACAATCTTCCCACCTTCGCTTCGGTCTACCCCTCGGGCGCTTACCATTCGGCACAGCAAATATTAACCTTTTAGGAATTCTCTCGTTACTAAGCCCAACAACTTTACAAGCCCATTTAATTCGCCGCGATAAAATTACCTCAATTATATTACTCGGATACAGCTCACGCAATTCGGCGTTGTGTAACTGT